CCCCAAAACCCCAAAACCCCAAAACCCCGAAAGGTGATAATAAGGATATATAAGAATGATAATTTATGATTAAATTTAAGATAAGAATCATTTCTTAAGCAAAGACTGCAGATTAAGATTATTACTGATTTTTCCCCGCATCATCTCTATACAAGTCTCTCCATTAATGATCTAAGTAGTGGCAATAATGAACTTTCTATCTTTGAACAGCTTGTTCAGGAACCTGATAGCAGCAATCTCTCCGTATGTAATGCCTCCAATGAAGTATATCAGCACTCTTTTCTTTCTTTGCTAGTCACTATTCGATATCGTCTGAATCTTAGCTCCAAAGAATTCATTCTCATTAGGTGGATATATAACCTGGCCAGGTAGTAGTTTCAGTTCTATAATTTAAAATTTAAATGATGTCTTACTGTCATCAGTTTTAGCGAAACCGCCTTAGTTAAAGATAAATTCGATTAACTTAATGGATAGTGGTGAGTAGCCATTGTACACATAGCTGATATCAACTGGGTCTTAAATTCTCGTCTCCTCATTAATCAGCTTGAATGTCTGAAGTAAATATGATGATTCATCAAAATAATTACCTTTTTAAGCTTAGCCCAGTCTAATTTCTTATCTTTTACTCTCAACAGTTTAGCATCCTACAGATTCATAAGAGTAATTATCTCAAGATAGCCAAAGTTCATCAGGTAGAACTTCCTAAGACTTTCTAAGATGTCAGCCTTCAAGCCACTCTGAGTCACACTCAGAAGGCACATCAACCTTAGAATCTTATCCTTGCTGTACTGCTTAACCATCTTATTCTCTAGAGTTTACAGGATTTGCTTCAAATCTTCACCTAGAATAATCTTTTACTCCAGACCATAGCAATGCTGATAGTCTATATTCTTCATCTGTGTGTTAATGTAGAAAGCCAAGTTGATGTGATGAGTCAAGATGTCTTTTCCCTTGGCGATGTCCATATTTCGCAGTTTAGTGATATATGCCTCAAGTTCGTCTATTGATTAAGGAGCATCTTTTTCCTTAACAATATTTTGAATCTGCTGAACCTTCTGACTGAATGTACTTTCTAAGGTATTGAAGTGCTTGTCCCTAACATCTTTAAAGATTTTATCATCATTAGTCAAAGTCAGAATCTTAACTGGCTCCATAGGCGGGGCTTTTGGATCCTTTTAAGCATCTGGTTTGATTATAGAAGTATCAACTGTAATGCTGCAAGACTGAATCCTGAATATCTCATCAATAAGACCCTCATATGTTTGATTGACACAGAAAGGAGTCACCATGTCGATGTTTCTATCTAGCATAATCATAGCATCAATCTCAGATTCATTGGTCTGATTCGAACTGTCAATAGGAATAGCACTTTAATTGATTCTACTCAAGATCTGTGAAGCATCATCTCCCTTTGCGAATTTAAACTTAATCTGTCCGAATACTGTTTCCAACCTATTTATTGAGGTTTGGACATATACTTTGTAATTATCATCATCACCTAACATGTAATGAGAGAAATTATCTGCGAGTTCTAAACTCAATAGGTCCTCTTCTAGCGGTATCAAATCCATTGCTATTTAGCTTACTCTCTCCTCTGAGAATATCTATATAATTTTAATTGTTAATGCAAATACCTTTTCTTTTTCAAGTTCTTCATCGCATTCAATTGTTCTTCGAGGCACATAAAGTATATAAAATTCCTTCCCTGTCATCCAACCCTTCTGCTGGAATATCACTTTTCTAATGACATCTAGTTCAGGTCTCACTACGAATATGACTTTCTCATTAATTGGTTATAGTTGCTATAGTAAATTAAGCATTGCTACAATAATGATTTGAGCATACGTCTTTAGCGTTTAGTGGCAGAGTCTCATCGATATTTGCTGATTAAGGCATTTGTCCAAAGACAAAGCTTAGCACTTTCAGGAGTCCATCATCAAAATATATAGTCTTCTTTCCTTTTATCTATAAATATGAGATATTATTAGTTAAGGAAAGTACAGATTCGAAGTATTTAAAGAATGAATTTTGGAAGTATAATCTAAGTAATCCGAAATTAGTCTGATCTGCTGGAGGTCCTGCTGGTGCTGAGTCCATTGATTACTTTTTACCAGATTCCATTTAAGATTTTATAATTACATTAATTGAGAATTATAAATTGAAGAGATTTCGAATAGGGGTTTTGGGGTTTTGGGGTTTTGGGG